GTAGCTTTGTGCTCGGGCTGCGCCCCGCGGCCACCCCCTGGGGCCGCCCGCGCGCGCTCTGCTCTCGCGCGGGGCTTTTTCTCACCCTGTCCCCGCGCCCCAACCTCACTCTCTGCAGCCGCCTCAGGTCTTCACGATCGTAGCCTGCGGAGCCACCCGGCGACCCGAGCTGGGGCTGGGGCTAGGCGGCGGGGGACGAGCAACGAGAAAAAGTAACCGTTGCCGCCCGATTTCTTCTCTACCGAGGCTGGAGTTTCTTTGCTATTTACACGTAACAAGGTTATCTTTGTAAAGCCTTTGAATTGCAGGGTTTTGCGGCCTAGGAGGTGAAGGGGGCATTTTTTCTGAAGGTTCGGGAGGGGGTTGGAATCCATCAGCAAGAAAATAAATGATGCCTCAGTGGGGTTGATTTATAGCACGTTTACACCCACCCCCCATACACACACACCCCAAATTAAGTGCGAATGCGGGTCATGAAAAATGTGTAATTGATTTGCGATGCTGCAAACAAATAAACACAAACAGGTCAGGGTGGAAAAAAACAAACAAAACTTTAACTGAAAAGAAAAGATTTCCAAAGAGGGGGGAAATCGGTGGCCTCCACATCCCCTTCCAATGCTCTCTGGCTCCCTCCTTTCTCGGTCGCTCGAGGAAGGAGCCTGGAAGCCCCTGGGCATAGAGCAGGGAGGCGGCGGCTACTTGGGGCTCGGGCTCTGCTCTGTGGGTTCGGGGATGCCAACGCGCCTGGGAGGCTGACGTCGGGGACGTGGGGCTGTGATGCCCCAACGAGGATGGCGCGGTGTCAGAACCATTGGCCACTGGTGGTCATCAATCAATCCGGGGCTGGGGAAGAGGGAGAGAAAAAAGACAGGCGCCCAGCGGACCCCGGGGCCGCGAGCGCTAGCGCCAATAGTGCCAGCAGCGGCGGCAACAGCGGAGACGACGCGGTGGCAACCGGGACTGAGCGAGTAAGGCGAGCTGGTGCTTCAGGAAGGAAGGGGGAGCTATGGCCCGGACCAGGCAGCCAGGAGCCGGGAGGGCAGGGCAAGTGTGTGTGTGTGTGTGTGTGTGTGCGCGCGCGCGCGAGTGCATGTGTGTGTGTGCAGTAGCTGAAGCCCCTCTCCAACTGCCCACCCTCGATTTAAAACAAACAAACCAATCCAAAGTAGAGAATTCTGCGCCCACCCGCCCCACCATATATAGACTCCACGCGTTGTCAGAGGCGCGGGAGAAAAGTCTCGCCCTCCCTCTCCGCAAGAATGTGCCAGCCGGGTGTCCGCAGTGCTGGAGACAAGTTCAGGTGTAAGTGCAATGGGAGGGAGGGAGCTCTGTGGACAGAGGCACGTGGAACTCTATGTCAGCATCCCCTCCAGACTGGCGGAGGAGCCTTGGAGAAGGCATGTGTGCATCACTCCCGCAAGCAGGGATGAGTAACTGGAAGTGGGCATGAAAGAGTAGAGGCGTGAGTCAAGAAAGCAGTGGATCTGTCGATCTGTGAGGCAGAGGGAGGAGAGAGCAAAATTTGGCGGAGTTGGAACTGGCGAGTTCCAAAGTCCCTTCACGCTGTCGGGCGATGTTCTTGGGGCAAGTGATTAAAATGAGCATCCTTGTTTAAACAAGGAAACCGCGGGCTCCTTTCTCATAGGCTTTGCCAGGCTGTGCAGGAGTAGAGAGGTCAGGAATTGTTGCTTTGAAACTTTCGGTAAATTGGACTTCTGGTGTCTAGGAGGTGGAGACAGTTATTTAATTCTTCAGTTTTTAATCCCTGCACTGCCAGCAGACTTTAAGAGATTTTCCAAGTAGATTCCTGGAAAAGAACATTCCTTGTTGTATAGCGTCAGGGACAGAAGTGACTGCTGTCTAGGAAATGCAAAATGTGCTCACATGATTTTTTGAAAAAAGAAAATTAAACTAACAGCAGTGTGGATGTTTGGCAGTGTCAGTCCCTTTTAGGTTTTTCTTTAGGCGAATTGGCATTTTGTACTGGGTGCCTTTGTTTTGTGGAGCAAATGTGTTGAAATATAAAATGAAAATTAAGAAAATACTTTCTCTGAATATTGTGGTGGTGTAAGCCTGAAGAGGGTGAGATGCACCAAAATATGGTCATTTGAAAGGTTTTGCTACATACATATATGAAGCAAGGTGGTGCAGCCTCTTGATAATTTTAGGTAATATGTCTTCTTGCAAGCTTTCCCCCAATTTTCATATGAAGAGAGGTGATTTTGCTGATTGTCCCTTGTCTGAGAGAGTTCACAAAAACAATGTATAAAACAAAAAGCAAACAAATAAATAGAAAACCCCAAATCCAATCTTTTCCTTGTGTTTGTGCTTAATATTCTTAAGATATGTTCATTTTGAGATATGGGTGGAGGTGAACATAGCATTTAAAAAAAAATAAGTCTTTTCTTGACTTGTCTGTAAAGGTGCTATGAAAGTTTTGAAGCTCTCTGCCTCAGTCTGACATTTTCTTCAAAGGACTCCAGATTAAAGAAGATAGACGCCGCAGGTGCACTGTTTCGATAAAGCATTTGAAAGGGAACATGGCAAAGATGAATTCAAATGAGGTGCCAACCACCCATTTAGCCCTTCAGAGTTCCAGGGGCCTGTGCTTGCTGATGAAAAGATGTTCTATTTGTCTTGCTAGGGCAAAGGTGCAAAGAGGCACAGATATTCACTGACAGAAAAGGCAATCTGTAGGTTGATGTTAGGATGGAGAAGACTGTTTAGGAATGTGGCTTGATCGCTTTCTAAGTTGGGTCTCTTCTAGGTTTCAAATAAGAGAACTTGGGAGGGTATCATGCTACCCACTTCAAGACACTGCATAGATATTTAAATGTTAAGTTTGTATATTTTATTTGTAGGCCACATTCTGTTTAATGAGTTTACTCCAGAAACATTTAAACTTTTTCTGGCACTGAGTGTTACTCTGGGGTCACAGTGGTCTAGACATGAATTTGGTTTCTTTTGCCTCTGAATGTTCCGTATTTCACACAATAGACATTGATGGAAAGAACAGAAGAATTGCCAAGTAATTTTTATACCACTCTCTAATTTATGCAAACACTAAGTTCTCGTAGTCTGAAAATGTGTATTTTTCCCCCTCTGTGCTTTGATGGCTAACATTCTTTTTAATGACAGTCATTTCTATAACAGGAAGATGTTTTCATTTGTATTTACTTTTCAGCGCCACGCAATTATGCAGCTCTGCGCTTCAGTGGTGTCTCAGTACTTTGTGTCTCAAAAGAGAATTACAGTACTTAGAACAGGACTGCAATTTGAAGCAGGTGTTGTGTTTTACTGTTATGCAAAATAACAGTAAAATATAATTGTGGGGAAAATTAAGGAAACAGCTGCAAACTTGGTATGAAAACTGCTACATTATGATTTGTAAGCAGTTCTTATAGATATCTTACATCAGAGGAGCAGGCAAAGATTTTAATTTAGTTAATCCCACTGGCCTGGGTGTCTATCAACTGGTGCTTAAAGGAGTCATACCTCTCATGAAGTCAGGAGGAAGAAAAAGAACCCAAAGTGACACTGTTTTAAATGCCAGAGCACCAGGGATTCATCTCTTGGCAGTGCAGTTGCACGTTAGGAGCACAGACAAGGTTTATTTAAATGGCTTTGCTAATATGAAGAAGGCAGTGATTTGAGTAGAACGTTGTGGAATTTCTTAGCCCAGCTAGCATATGGAGGACTGCACAAGCCCCGGGTTGTAAAATAATAAAATAAATGGCCTATGGCAGGCCATCTGCCTTTTGCTCGATATTTAAGGTGTTTCATGCCAAATTTAAATCTAATCTTATTATTCTAAATATTTTTATTCGAGATAGCAGCTAAGATTTCTGGAGCTTAATGGTGCACATGGCAAATGTATTCTGATACAGAGCAGTTAAAGAAAGAGTGCTAGTTACCCACGGGTTACCAAAGGGAGTGTTTCCCACTTCTCTCCTGAACTCATCAGTTTCCATGCAAGAATTTGCTTTCCTCCGTCTTTGCACCCTGCCGTAAAAATAGACGTCTTCATTTCTCAATCCAATGTGGCAACTAATACATTGACATTTATGAAAAGAATGAGAACTAATGGGATTTTTTAAAAAGATGAAACCAACTAGTGAAAATTATGCAGCACCAAGATGCAGTCAGGACTAAGGTACCTCACTGGTCCATCAGGGCTGGGAGAGAGGAGGTAACGAATGGCATCCAAAGTGGTAGTTCAGTCCCGGATGGATGCCTTTGCCCTTTTCCTGAGTGAATCAGAGTGTTTAAAGAAACCGTACTACATTTAGCAAGAAGGATTTACCTTACCATAAAGTTCTTGGCCAGAGAGAAATGCTTATGCATCCTAGGCATTATATATGTTGGGACTGCAAGTGAAAGAAAAGTCACGTGTTAACGTGTGAGTGTTAATATAAGTATTATAGTCATGCCCAGGTGTCTGTTAAAAGCACAGGATTTTTATTTACATTTGTCATTGTGGTATATAGATCTTTGAAGCATGGAGATTTCAAGTGATTATGTGACACCAACTTTGTAAAAACCAAACATTCCAATTAGTGGTGAAGGCTTGGAAGAGTCTTCACTTTGAGCACAAACCATTTATAGCTAGACACCATGGCAACTGCGGGTTTGCCCCTTCAGTAATTCACGTTAAGTGCCATAATTATAATTAAAGAGGAAATCTTAGGTTGAACTCCATTGAGATGATTTAGTAGCATCCAGCAATGTCAAATACAGTGTAATGTCCACTCTGAAGTACGAGCAGGGTAGAGAGTTGGGATCCATGGTACCCACAAGGCAACAACATTGATTCACATTTTTCCTGAACCAATTTTGTGTCTAGATGTCAAATTTAATATCTCTGAGCATCTTATTTCTCTTTGTTCTTATTATATATACACACACATATATATATTTTTTTCTTCTAGAAACACACAGCGGTATTGATGAGTAAATCCTTGGATTCAGAAGTTGGCTGAAACGAACCATGCCTGCTTCCATCTTTTGCTCCAGAAAGTTGTGAACTGCTCATGCCTATAGGGAGGAAGGATGGCACATGGGATTCCTTCTCAAGGCAAAGTTACCATAACGGTGGATGAGTATAGCTCAAACCCCACCCAGGCATTCACACACTACAACATCAACCAGAGCAGATTCCAGCCGCCACATGTACATATGTAAGTATTGCTCATGAACTTAAAAAAAAATAGCAGTCAAGAGTGTAGAAATAAAATAAGAAAGAAAACCATTCTCTTATAGCATTCTGCTAGGGAGAATTAAAAAGTAAATGATTTACAGAACAGATGGGTATCTGTGGTTCCAAATTCAGCCCAGGAGAAATCCCTTACATCTGCGTAACAGTTCAAATTTTAGAGCACTTGCAAGCATAGTTTGACATTGGATATTCAAAGCCTTTGAAGGGTTAAGGTAGGTTGTCTGCATTTTGTAGATAAGAACAGAGAGGTTAAGGTATTTTCTTAATGTTGCACAGGGAATTTTGGCAGCATCTCCTGACCCCTATTTCAGTTTGTTTTGCCCTGTATTACTTGCTTCCATAATGAAATATTTCTTTAAAATTTGTGTAGTTTTTTTCCCACACCTCACCCCACTACCCCTTTACATTCAGCTGGGAAATAGGCCTAATTGGAACTAATTGTCCAGCTACTGCTAAATCCATTGTCTTGCCTGTTGCTAGTGAAACGTGTGCTGCATGCTGCAGGCCTCAAACAATACCGGGTAACAAAGGATTAAGGGACAGTGGAACAGTTGGTTCCAGGAATTGTACTTTTCTCCCACTCCCTAATACTGCTTAAGTCCTGTCTGAGGTTTAAACTGTTTAAGAAGTAAAGTGTGGGAGAAACCCAGAGGCAAGGATTTCGCAGCACCTGGTTGCACACCAACTCTTTTCTGGTCTTCTGCCACAGGATGTGCTGGGCTTTCAGCAGAAGGGGGCCAAAGGTCACCATCTCCCTTGTTTATTCAAGGCCTGGTGCTCATTCTCTATGAGACCCTTCCGATGTCTAACATGAGTCTTTCATAGTAGGACTAAACCTCTTTGAAAACTATTGTATAGTCAAGATAGAAGGGAGGTTAGGACTCTGTTGACTGTTTTTACCACTCCTGGCAGAATTGAACTCTGAGCATGTCCAAGTCACAACCTCCTTCTTTAGTAATTCTTTTATGTGGGCATTTACAAAGAGAGTAGAACTTCTACTGCCCCCACCCCACCACAAATCCTCTCAAATTCGGAAACACTAACCAAACATAAAGGCATTTCCCTTGACTACCTTGATATTAGTATAAATACTAGGATTTTGCTTTGTGAGGATATCCTAAAGAGCCACTCAGTAGCCTATGATAAAATTTATGCAAAGTTGGAAAACTAAAACACCATGCCTGAATAATAAAGAAAAAAGAAAAGAAAAATAAGAAAAATCATTGCAAATGATTAGAGCTAAACCATTTAAAAGAATTTTATACTTTAAATTAGAATTGGTTCACGATTATGAAGGATTACTAATGTGATTTTAAGGATGAGTTTTTAAGGTGAATAAGATTTGTCTTTGTTAAGATGGCTTTTCTGAACAATAAATATGTGGTCATTTCAGATACTCTTTTTATTCTGTTTCTGTGCATTTTTCTTTCTTGTTTTTGTTCTATGCATGTGTTTTAAAATTTGTACAGCCCATATTTTTGGATACTTTTAATTTGGTTTTGCTGGTGTGACATTGTGTATGAAGGAATCACAAAGAACTTGGTGAATCCTGTTTCCCATCTGGCAGGAGAAGCTATGATTTACCCAGATTCCTGGGAAATGACTTGACGGGGAGGCTCAGCTTGGTCTTCAGGTCTGCAGACATCTGCTCACTTATTCTTGGTCGTAGATTCCACTGATGACCGATGAATGCTCAGGGCTATTTTAAAATCACGTAACCTTAGAAATGATCTGCTTAGATCTAGCCATGAAAAATTGGAAGGATCAAATTATACTCCTTTTTGTTGGAAAAAATAAAAGGCCTGAGAAATGAGATTTGCGGTGGCAACTTAGATAGCTGTGTAACCCTTTTATCATACTTCCAACCTAGGAACAGAGGCGTTTTCCAGAGGCTGGTTGCCACATGCCTTTTTTTCTCTTTTATTACCAGTGGGTTTGCCTTCTTACACTCTGCTACAGCCACTCAAGTTGTCACACTGACACCTGAGCACACCTGGGGCTCTCTACCTCTTCTCATAGGTACAGTGTGTTTATCTGATTATCATATGCCTCAAAGCCAGTGTAGACTCCTGCTCTTATATGAAGCCTCTTCTCCCTCTTTCTTCCTAATCCAAAATGACTGTGCCTACCCAACAGGACACCCCATTACTTGGCATTTATTTCATATGACTTGCATTATTTTTCTTCAGATCTCTTTCTCTCTCTAGTTGTCTCATCTACATGATTTAATCCTTAAAGTGGGAATTGTACTTCTGAGCAGGTGACAGATGTTCAGATACGCTGATAGATCAATTGATTGGATTATGTATTGAGGTGAGAAATTGTGATTGATGCTTGGAGATTTTCATTGGAATTTTTCTGTCTTGACCTTTTGACTTTGTATGTGTGTTTTGTCAGGAAGTTGACTCACCTTTTCATTGCCTTTCCTTTCCCTTGCAAGAGCCTGCTTGATCTTGTTTTGCAGGCCTGAGGACCTAGCACTGTGACCGGCCCATAGTAGATGTTCAGTTATCTTCATTGAATAGAATCATGTTATATTTCTGCACATGCTATATTAAAGAGCATTGCTCTTAATCTAAGTAGAACTAAAGTGGCTTGAAAATATATATGAAATATCTAATCTAAAAACTTCTTCATTTTTTTTTTTTGAAAATTTCAACATGTTTTGGCAGAAATTTGCTCCTTTCCCTAAATGTATTTTGTCTTGTGCATTTGAGTGATTGCTCATTTATTTTGCTCAGAATTCTTGAAACATTTGCTTTTCTTTTTCACTTAACACCTGAGGTCTACGAAGATCTGTGACAGATGACCTAGAGTAGAGTTAAAATCTTGGCTTCTTTAATGGCCCCTTGTTTTCTTTTATACAAGTTCGTGGTGGTAGGTAGGGTTGTCTCATCTTAATTAAAGAATATCTCATTTCCCAATTAATTCAATTAGTCCTAACTCAGCTTTGTGACTGACCCTGGGCAATTCATTTACTTCCCTTCTCCAGGCCTCAGTTTACTCCCATGTAAACATGTGCACCAAATAACAGTTAAGGAACTTTTTTAGCTCTAACTTACTAAGATTGCAATTAAGACAGGGCTTATTTGCAAGTTGTTGCTGGGGTGAGGAAACAAAGCTAAAGAAGACCTGGTCCCCACGTTGCAGATCTCAGAGCTGCCATTTCATCTGGTTAGAAGAGGTTTTGGTTTAGTTTTTATGTAGTTTTTATTTCAGTTCTGACAAGATTGTTAGCAGGCTTTCTGAGAACCATGGCCTTGAATCTGCTTGTGACTTAGGGTAGGTTTCCCCACCCCCCTTAAGAAAGCAAGCCTATATGACTTTGGAAAAGAAAATCAAAGCACAGCTGGAGTTCACAGACCAAAATTTAGCCTAGAATTTGTGTCCCTTCTTACTCAGACTCTTGATCATACTAATAGATGTGATGATTGAAGCCTAACAATTAGCAGGGCTTCGTTTTTCTACAACCCCTTCATCTTTCAAGCAGAATGTTGAGAAAATTATTTTGTATTTTTAATGATGATGGGAGGAGATGCTGAAGGAGCCAATGGAAGTCTGGAAATGCCATGAGGATTTTTTCTGTATGCTTTTAATGACTTTAGGCCTAATAAAATAAAATCGCTCTCAGTTTTCCCATGAAAGTCCCATGTTATGAGAAACCCTTCAGTCTCCCACACACCATGGTGACTACTTACCCTATGAGTGAGGGTCATTGCTCTTTTTTTTTTCTTTAAGGATTGGCCATGGGGAGGTTCAAAGTAAATTTTATTTTCAGTTTTAGCTTCTTTCCTTGTCTCTGTTTTTGATTGCTGACAGCCCTGGAAACTTAAATAGCACTTGCTTTTACCCTGGATTTGTGAAGGCATTGTCACAGAGTGGTCACCTTAGTAGTGGAATCAGTTGGCCAGGTATGAAACCTGTTTACACCACCTACTGGCTCTATCATCTACCACAGAGAAAAGTCACTTCCCTGAGCTTTCTTGTTCCATCTGTTAAATGGGATTGATGAAAGTAATGCCTGTCTCCAAAGGTTGCCAGGGGGATAAAGGCGAAGGAGTGCCCAGTGGACTCAGATTTACCTGTTATCATTATTTTATTCAATTCTGAGCTTTTAATTCAAATTGTCTCCACCCATTTTGAAAATCAGTGATTGTTAATGAAAGAATAAATAAAAGTCACTGGTGAGTTTTGTCCTGTCTTTCTCAAGGAGCCATTATCAGAAGACACCATGGAGACTTTTCTAGGCGGGATTTTTGGGTGGTTGGGGTCTGCAGGTGTCCTGATGTACAGCTTAGGAGGATCTCACTTACTTCCAATTACTCCCTGAGAGTAGCAGTTCCAAGGGGGAAGGGATTCTGTCAGCCAAGTGCTCCCTTTTGCCTCAGTGGAATGAATGACAGTGGCCTTCCTCCTCCTGGGGTGGATCCTTGGAACCCTGTGCCCTAACTGGTCAGTATCTCAGGTTCCCCACTGATATCTGTGTTTCAAAAAGTTGATGGTCAGGATTGAATGCTTAGGCTGAAGAAGGAAGACATGGTAGGGGAGAATGTGGCGTGAAGTCAAGACATTTGTATACAAGTGCTGATCATGCCGTTACTGGCTTGGTCAGGTGACGATGGAGAATCAGGATCTCAGTTTTTTTAAATGAGGTTTAAGAGGGTTGTGAATATTAAATGAGATGACGCATACGATGTATAATTATGAAACACGGCACTTAATGAATTGATGTTGTGATAATATCCTAGGTTTTACTAGCTGGTGAACATGATATAAGTATTAATTTTTTCTTTCCAAAATGCTTGGCTGTGTAAACCTGACATGTCCAACATGTGTTCTTGTTGCACTGTGTAGCAGACATCAGTGTTTACTGAGCATCGTTGATCAAAAATGAACTTTCAGGGATGCTGAGTGATCATTCTATGCCAAATTCTTACAGGGTTTTGTTTGTTTGTCTGATCT